ACATATGTATATACTCGTATATAGACTTCAATTAACCCAAAAATTTAATTGTTCTTTTTTTGTGTCTGATATTGTATATATTATGTAAATTATATATTTGAATAGTACACATGTAATCATCCTTTGTATTGGCATTATGACAAGCCAGCCATTCTGCCATAGCTTTATGCTAATTGTTTATTAACACATCATAATTGTACGCCTACATTTTTTGTATTATTTATCACTGATTATGGCAAACAATGAAACAGAAGAACAAGAAGAGCTTTCCAGCAAACACTGAATATGGAAAGGAGAGAGGTAGGTGGGTGCTTGGTTGTTTAACAATAATACTACAAAATAAATATTCCATTTTCGGATATTGAGTAATATTGCTACAACAACAACAATGATTTGGAATACCGTCATATTTATTTTGACATGTTTTTTTTTTGGTTTGAAAGTTATCCATGTATGCGCCGCGCCGATTCAATGTAGACGTCAAATTGTTTATTCCTGCTTTGCCAAAACAAAAAAAAAATAGCTTTAACTGAATAATGCGAACAAACTAGACCACCCACGCACGATTTTTGTTTCTTCAGAATGTTGTGAATGGCGGGCGACAACGACGACGTCAAGAATACCTTAGGCGAGACGTAAAACAACAGAAATCCGTTGAACACCACCCATACCAATTAATAGTTGTGATGTACGCTAGTGTGCGTCTTTCTTTTTTCTCTGTTGTTAGATGAATGAATAATGGCCAAGGAAAAGGCAAACAAACAAACAAATAAAACACCAAAAAGATTCGTCATCTAAACACAACGAGTGTGTGACGTTTAATGTGTCAAGAAGAAAAAAGAAATCCAAAAAACATATTCTATAACAGCTGAGTCGCCAAGAAATAATAGACATGTGAGTGAGGCCGGGTTATGTCTTGAAGGAAACTGTTAATTAAATTAAATCATTTGTATTCCAAGAAATCTGTTGCGAAGAAAGACAGTTGCGTTGCAAAGTGTTTATGAGGAATTACAAAAATATTCTTTAAAAAATCCAGGGTCCTTGAAAAAATATTCTTAAAAAAGTAAGACCTTGTTTGGGTTCTGAAAATTATAACACTTGGTTTGGAAATGAAGTCATTGGAAGACCCATCAAAATCGTCATCGAATATTATGTTCATACGACCAATATGTTGAGGGGTTGGACAATAAAGTGAGTGAAGAGAGCAATATACAGCTGTGGTCAAAATAATAGCAGCGTATTGTATTAAAATATTCTTACTGAAGAAAACCATATTCTTTTTTTGCCAATTCCTATTTTTATTAATTTATTATCACTCTTTGAAATACATATGATACAATTTTATTTTAAAAATAAAATGACTCAAAGTCATTCTACACCCTTGATATCTATGATATTTATCTTCGGGTTCAATGTAATGTAAAGTTAATACACATTTTAAGATTATTTTGGAATTTCAAAAATGAATCTCTAATTAACATAGGCGTAGCAAGAAAAGATTTATAGTTTGCCATGATAACAGTTTAGGTAAACATTAAATACAGTTCGAATGCTAATAATTTCTGGAAAGAACTACCCATCAGGTGAATTATTTGATAAACATGATTTATATGTATGTGTGCGTGTGTTTTTATTTGTTTTATAATTTTTTTGGTTGGGTTTTATTATTTCAAATATATTACTTTATTAAAGTTATGCTGAATTGAGTCAAGTGGGCCATTGCTTTTAGCCATACTGTCGTCGTCTATCTAATCATCGAATGGCATGAGTGTATTTGCTTTGGACTCCAGACTTGCTTGCTTGCCTGCCATTTGCCTTTTTTATCACTTTCTTTTGTTCACAGTTCAAATATAAATCTTATCGTACATTTGTTTTCTACATGCGTTTTTTACTGTTTAAAACGGAATAAGATAAGTGGTGTTGATATAAGAAATGGAGAATTATAACCTGAATTTAACAGAAAAATATGAAGAAAAATACAACAATTCCTTTAAAGAATTATAAGAAATTGGCTAAATACTGGAATTTGACATTTATAAATTGGCAACATGTTGTTTATGGTGTTGTTGATTTTCCAAAACAAAAAATTAAATTCGTTATTTATAAATATTTTTCATTGCTAATTAATTTGTTTTATTATGCTATTAAAATATGTATGTACGCATATAGATAAACATTTTTCAAGATACACATGTCACTGATGATTTTATTCAAAAGAAATTTCAAAACAAAAAAATAATATTGTTCGTATGCGTTTTATTCAGGAGGATAGGTGTAGGTGTTTTTCTTATTTGGGAAATGAAGTCAAACGGATTTGGGATGCATATTCATTATTGTTTATCATTCCAAGAAAATTATCGACACCATCAAATATAGATGTGTGTGTGTGTTTTTACTTTTATATTATAAATATCAATGTGAATAATATACGAAAAAATGTGAACACGTCTATACATTATTTTTATAAATCATTTGCACAATCTTCAAAAAAAAAATATTTATAATAAATAATCTTTATTATATATATGTGTGGGTATATAAAAGAAAAAATATTGAATGCAGTTTTCAATTTCATAAATTGAAGATTAAGATTCTTCCAGAAAATGGGTAAAAACCAAATAGAAACCCCAAAAAGAAAAACTTACCAAAATAATGCATATTTTCCTACAAACTAATTTTTTTCACAATCAAACAAAGAAATATTTTGGAACAAAAGAAAATGGGTAAACCCCAAATAGAAACCCCAAAAAGAAAAACTTACCAAAATAATGCATATAATATTTCTTAGTGCCATAATATATCCATGAAGACCAAAAATATGAAATTAAGGGGGTTGGGTAACGTTCAATGGGGCTACCCCGAAAAATGAATCAATATAATTCTTGGTAGTGAGTTTTCTTTACATTAAAAATCCACACATTTTTTGGGTCCACATTTTTATTTTAAATCAATGAAAAAATATTCTTTAAAATTTTATTGGACCGAAACTTGGGAGGTACCAATATGTAGAGGTTATCATAAAAGTTGACCACTATTGCCACTTTTTAGTAGGATGATTTTCTACCCATGAGAACCTAAAAAAAATTTAGTTGTTGAGATTGAATTTCGTACCCAAAAGCTTCAAAATATCGAAAATTGGGGTTTCCCAAAAAAGAGATGCTATGTGTAGTGGTAAAGTAAGTTCATCTTCAATATTACGAGCTCTAATGTGATTTCAACTGACAAATGAACAAACAGAAAAACCGATCTGAAGATATCGATATATTTTTTTTTTTCTGGTCAACAATATTTGTATATACTTTACAGGTCTTATTTCTAGATGTTGCAAACGGAATGACAATATTAATGTACACCTCACCTTGTAGTGGAGGGTATTAAAACGATTTCATTATTTCAAAAAGTTGTATAGAGACGTCGGATACATAGAATACATTTGTTTGGAGATGGGTTCATTGGAAGACCCATCAAAATCGTCTGTTCATGCTCATGTTGAGGGGTTGGGAAATGAGATAATTGATCAGCAATATAAATTTAAAGGATGAAATGAAATTTATATGCTATCTAAAAAGTTTGAAATCTAAAAGGGATGCATATATTTACTATAGTGGACCTATAGGAGATATTTATAGGATATTTTTTAGACTTCCTAATCTAATCTTCCTATTAAATATTAAAATTTTAAATTTATCATCGGTCATAAAACATCAATAAAATGACATACACTATACTTGTATATATGTGTACATATATGTCTCCATGTGTGTCCCTATTCCCATCTCTCTTAATAATAAAAGGCTACTTTTGAAGGTGAAATGAAAGGAAATATTTTGTAAAAAAAAAAAACAAAATAACGCAACATGTTTTGACGTTTATCTGTTTTGTTTTTTTTTCTCCTTCATGATGCTGTTGATACATTTTCCGATTCACAAAACAAACATTGTCAAGTAATATAGTACATATACTTATTTATATACATATACATGTGTATGTCTGAGTGTGTCGCAGATAAGGCTATAGGAGATGCGTCCAAGTCTATATTAATAAATACTGGAAACTGAAATAAATACTACATGTCTCAATGTGTAATGATGCGGCATAAATGACTGACTGCCTGGCGCACTGCCTGTATTTGGAGATAGAGAGAAAAAAACCAACGACCAATGAACGACCTTCACGCATCATCGCATTTAACAACAACAACAGAAAATAAATAAAAACAAACACTTGAAATAGCTTAAATGTTACTTTGCTTGCTTTACATGATATATGGCCTTGAATACTCTGTGCGTGGTGGACTGACTGACTGGCTGGCTGACTATTGCATCATGTTGTGTCTGTTGTAAGTTGAACTAAAGGTAAATGGGGGAGGGAGTGTGTGTATGTGTGTGGGAGGTCTGAGGAGATGTAATTAAAAACATCAGCTGCATTTCCTTCTTGCCTTACACGTAATGTGATGTTTTGGTAAGCGGTTTTGTAATGCATGGAAGAACATGTGGATTCTTCCGGACTTATCGGGAAAAAATTATGACCTATTATTTAAAAGTCTTGCTAGTAAAATTGAATAAATTCTTCATTGGAGGTATTGAAATTTCTTAAAGTATATTTTTGGAAAGTCAGGCAATACATAATACCACTAGCTTACTACAAACGATCAGTGATCCAAAATTAAATTAATGCTCTGTTCCAGAACCCACAATTATCCTCTATAAATCGATCTCTTCCACGATCTACATTTTTTCCTTAATAAATTTTAAAAGTTTTGCGAATCTTTGGGTTCTGAACCAGACCTTAAATGTTTCCCATTCACATTAGAGACATTTTGAAGCGTTCCAAAATTTAGCATTATACAACAATTTTGGTTCAAAGAATACTCATAAATATATCCCTTTCATTTTTCTCTTCCATATTCTGAACACAACAATTTCAATTGAGTACCAAGAATCGACTTAACCTAATTTTGTCTTCTTTTCAAAGCGATTTGAGTTTTTTTTTATACTAACCTGGAAGTGTGCTGGAATTTGCTGTTGCTGTGGTATTTGCTGCCGACTGCTTGGTGACCCATATGCTGTTGCCTGTGGATCTCCACCTACAAAATGTTGGGCCTGTGTGTGATATTGTTGGGGTTGTGACTGTGTTGCTGCTGCCGGTGGTGGGCCATGATATTCGTGATTAATTGGTATGGTAATGCCGCCATTGGTGGCACCGTTACCACCAGGACCGGCAGATGCTGATGCATTAGCATTGGCTATCACAGTGGGTTTCATGATTTTTTATATTTTTTCTTTGTTTATTTTATTTTAATTGCTGATATTCTTTTGCGGAATTCGTTGATGTTTCTTTTTTGGTTTAGTTTAATATTATTCAATTTTGCACACTATCTGGAACAATGGAAAAATGAATTTTGTTTAATTAAAAATTAGGTATGTTGCACAAAATAGAAAAGCAAAAAAATCACTATATCACTTGGTTTTGGGTTTTTGTTTGAAAATGTAAAGTTTTTTTTCGATTTGGTTGTCGGGTAGATTGGTTATTCTATTTCGATTTATTTGTTGTTGTTTTTGTTTTTCTTTCGTCTATTAGAATCTTCTTGAATGTGTGTTAGAGTGCTTTCGTTTTTTTCCGTTTGTTCTTTTTTCTTTTTTTGTTATCTCGCCCGTTTTAATGGCTAAAAGCAAATTCGCCGTTTTGTTGCCACCGTTTTCTGAAAAGTGGGGGACCAACAAATAAACATTAATAATGACCGTTTTAGTTGCTCGCTGTTCGCTTCACACTGTTTGTGGACAGCCAGCCAGGCAGCCACCTTCTTTCTGGCTATTGGTGGAAAATTCTAGGAACACTCGAGCAAAAATCTCAGACGTCTCACGTATCCGTTTCTTTATTGTTTTTTTGCGGAAATTTATTTGACCAATTTGAATTTATTTTATTTATTTTCTCGTCAAAATTTCTTTGGTCACTCTTTAATTTGGGAAGAGATTTGATGGGACACAATTAAAGAGAGCGAGCGAGCGCGATGAGGAGGATGCGAAGAGTATTGTATAATCGTCAAATTTGATTTTTTTATTTCTTGTTCTCGATTAACACCAGGAAGGGTGTGAGTATGTGTGTGCGATGATTTCCGTCTATTTTTCTATTTTTTTTTTTGTTTCAAAAACAGAAATACAAAATTGTACTAAAATGATTTTTGGTTACGTTTTGAAATCTAAAGCGAGTACTTATAGATACAGATACAGCGAATATGAACAGACAAAAAATTAAGCAAAGCAAAAAAGGCACTTGGCGTATCGCTGTAGGTTTCTTTTTCATAAAAGTATTGGTAGCTGCCAATGAGTTTGTATTGATTTCACCTTGATAACTGTGACGTCGCAAAAATGTTCGTGTTCCACAACAATAAATAATTTTTGAATCACAAAATAACCGTTAACACCTTATCAGTGACAATATTTTTAGCCAGATTTAAAGGTTCAGATCTTTGAAAGAGATCTAAAACTTGTTAACAATATTTATATGTATATTTCAGAGTTATAAGCGGAGCAGCTGTCACTGTTCATTCGTTGATATGACGTCACTCACAAATTTTCACACACACACATAAACACACTTTATCACTCACAGTTAACAAATATTTTTGTTGTTGTAAAGTTATTGATATTTTTTGCACTTTCATTAACACTTTGACGTTTTGGTTATATTTGTTGTTGTTTTTGTTGCTGTTACTTTTTCATTTGGCCCCCGCAAATGTCTTCCACTATTTTCATTACTTAGCTAATCACGTATAAATATACATACATATATGCATATATTTATATACATATATTTATTTTAAATATGTTTGTATGTGTATGTTAACAATAAACCTACATACAATTTCATTTGCTAATATTATTTGTTGTTGTTTCTGTTGAAAAATCCGTTTTCGTTTCTTTTTTTATTTTTTTTCTTTCTATTTCTTTACTTGTTTCCGTATCGCGTTATTTTCAAAGACGTCCGGTTTGTTTCATTAGCACTTCCAATCGCTACAACGTTACTAGTTAAACTGAAATCTCGTACTCTTGGCCATACATCAAATAGCCACATTGCTCCCAAGTATTGTCAAATATATAAATGTGTGAGAATGAAAGTCCCCATTCTCATTGTGCAGCTCTCATCAATTGGGGGATATTTGTTATGTGGCGCTCTCTCTCCGATGTTCTCTTGTTTTTGTGATGCCATTGCCAAAAACAAATGCTCTGCTCTAAATTATGTCATCTCAATTGTTCAGTATTCAATTCTCTTTGTTTATAACTAGAGCAGTAGTGCACATTATTGTTCTTATTGTTGTTGCTTTTTTAAAATTCATCTGGCAAATGCGAGAAGTTTCCGTTTTAAAACAAAAACAAAAAAGGCCAAAATGTGCTACAAATAGCGAAGGTAGTGGTAGCCACCTACAACAAAATGTGAGCAGTATACGGAGAGTGAGAGTGGCACGCTTATTTCAGCCAACTGTGAAACATGACCAATGTACAGTGGTCAGATTAAGAGAATAATTGGCAAGGTAATGTTGTAGTACGAAAGGTCAATCATTTTAAATATGCATGTCGTTTGGTATAATAGTGTGTATCAGATGTTTGAATTATTTAAATATATATTTATACCCCCAGATTAATAGCTATTAATATAAACTACGGCAAAAATATGCCTCAGTGAAATAACGTTTTCAGATTTAGAGTTTCATTGGACCAAATCCGTTTCAGACAATTCGGAATCAATTTAAAAAAAAGGTTCGTCTGTCTGGCTCGGGTGCATGACAACTCTCAAAAGGTATAACCGATGTCATACATCATAACATTTTACAAAATTTAAATCAATCGCAGATTGGGAATATCGGTCCATTCCTCCTGCCACCTCTCCCACAAAATGTTTAAAATTTTGCTGAAAATTAATTTTATAATATAATGTGAATGGACTGTCCGAACTTTGTACTTATTGATCCACTTCCTCTGGTACCTCTTCCACAAACGGCCAATATTCTGCAAACTTTGCAAATAGTGATATTTTTAACAATACTAGTTCTAATCCGAATGTGGAATACTTCCCCCACAAAAGGCCAACTTTTTAAAACATATAAATGTCTTTCGAATTGAATGTCAAAATACAAATTTATTTTTATCTGCAAACATTAATATTAATCGATTTTTTTTTTGTAAAAAATAAAAAAAATCCATTCTTTCCACTGTGCACTCTTTATATTCAATTTAATTATTTATCAATAAAATGATGGATATTTGCGACGAGATTTGACTTATGGACCTTCTTTCCATACTCCATTACGTGAAAGATCATCAGCTGATGCTCTCTCCCTCTCTGTGACTGTGTGAATGGTTGTCTGGCTCCCCATAAACAACAACTCTCCTTCGTTAGTGAAAATAATGAATTGTCATAATGATGGCGACAACAAAACTAATCATGAGAGCAAGAGTACTTCAATTTGATTGTTTGACACTCTTGGCGCAGGGCTGCCAGATTTGACGATTTATCGTCATTTTGACGATTTTTTGGTCAAAAATTGAAAAATGACGATTTGACGATTTTTGCCCAAAAAATGACGATTTTTGGTCATTTTAGTAATATTGCAATATTTGGGTTCTTTTTGTTATGGCAACATCAAAAATCTATAAAGCGAAAGAAAAAGTAAAAAGAATTTGAATATTTGGCATATGTGTGTGAGGTATACTTTGTACTGTTACAAAGCCAACAACAGTTTACGTTTACCCAGATAGATGAAAAACTACCAATCAGCTGTGCCGTTCTCTGGGTAGACAGCAACAAAACAAATAAAAGTTAACGGTTGTACGGAAGGTAATGGTATTACCCCATTCCTCAGCAAATGTTGAGCGTGTTTTCAGCCAAGTAAATCTTAATAAAACGAAAAGTCGAAATTCCCCCAATAAGGATTCAATGGAGAAATTTATACCAAAGATTATTTAAAAGTTAACAAAACAAATTGTTATGATACGTTAATTAAAACCGACATGTTGAAAATGATTAACACAAATATTTCTTTTCAAAATGAATGACTTTATTAAAGTCGAAATGACTATTCAAATATTTATTTATAAAATAAATACATTTCTTGATTAGCTTCCAAAAACGTGTTTAATAAATTGAATACCTCTTTTATGTTCATTTTAATAAAAAAATATATTTAAATATATCTAAATGTGCGTATTTAAATTTTTGATGATTTTTGATAAAAAAAATCGTCATTTTGACGATTTTTCCAAAAAAAAATCTGGCAGCCCTGTCTTGGCGCTCAAACTGTGTAGGGAGAGCCTTGCCTGTCAAACGATTTACACAGAGTAAATACACACATCAGAGTTTAAAAATAGAAACTAAACGTGGGAATTGAAGTGAAGTGAAGATAGATGGTCAAATGACAAATGTGCACAAAATATTAGAAATTAAATACAATAATTTTATTGTTTTTGTTGTTGCTGTGATTTCCTAATGTATACAAATAAAATTGAATGAAGATAATCTTTAATATTGAATAAAAGTGAAATAGAAAGAAACAAGAAAAAACAAAACGTTGTTTGTTGTCCACTAACTAAAGTGCATGCCTCGGAGAGAGAGGATAGTGTTTGCAGAAATTGTTGTTGAAAGAGTTTGATGAAATTCCATTGAGGAAGAAGAACTGCCAAAGGGTAAGTCTGAAAATGTTTTAATGAAAGATTCCTTTATTTAGTTGTTGTAAATTGCAAATTTCAACTTTATAAACAAACCCAAGCCAAAAATCAGAAGAAGAAGCAGCATTGCATACATTCTTCCAATCACTTTGTTACTCTCGCCGGGTTCATTGTCTCTTGTCCATTCATATTGAAAAGGCGTATCGGTCAATATGGCTTCCGTTGTTGCCACCAGAGTGCATTGAATTGTTTGTTAGTTTATTTATTTGCTACGCCATGTTTATCTTCCAACATCTGGGAACAACTGGTGTCCCTAGCAATTGCCTTGTGGATTATTCATAGCATTCCCATGCGGAAGTTAAAACAAAAAAATTAGCACTTTGTCGTAACAAAAAAAAAAAAAAAGAAAACAATGAATGCATAGGCCGGCCGTCGCCGCCACACTTGTGTGACCAATGAAGCGAAACCTTCATTGCTATCTCGGCGTCTGTCTCACTTTCTAATGCCAAAATCAATTCAAATCATACGTGAGGAGACTTCTAATGGAAGTTGGGAATTATTACACATTTTATTTATTTATGCAATAAGCCGGGCGGGCATAGGGAAAATGGCAAAAAAACATAATAGAAAA